TTATATAATGGTTTGTATAACTGTTCAGTAACATAATGGTTTGTATAACTGTTCAGTAATATAATGGTTGGTAGAACTGTTCTGTAATATGATGGTTTGTATAACTGTTCAGTAATATGATGGTTTGTACTACTGTTCTGTTATATGATGGTTTGTACAACTGTTCAGTATCATAATGGTTTGTACAACTGTTCAGTAATATGATGATTTGTTCAACTGTTCAGTAATATGATGGTTTGTATAACTGTTCTGTAACATAATGGTTTGTACAACTGTTCAGTAATATAATGGTTTGTATAACTGTTCAGTAATATGGTGGTATGTATAACTGTTCAGTAATATAACCGTTTGTATAACTGTTCAGTAATATGATTGTTTGTATAACTGTTCAGTAACATAATGGTTTGTATAACTGTTCAGTAATATGGTGGTATGTATAACTGTTCAGTAATATAATAGTTTGTATAACTGTTCAGTAATATAATGGTTTGGATAACTGTTCAGTAATATAATGGTTTGGATAACTGTTCAGTAATATAATGTTTTGTATAACTGTTCAGTAATATGGTGGTATGTATAACTGTTCAGTAATATGGTGGTATGTATAACTGTTCAGTAATATGGTGGTATGTATAACTGTTCAGTAATATGATTGTTTGTATAACTGTTCAGTAATATGGTGGTATGTATAACTGTTCAGTAATATAGTGGTTTGTAAAACTGTTCAGTAATATGATGGTATGTATAACTGTTAAGTAATATAATGGTTTGTATAACTGTGCAGTAATATGATGGTTTGTATCACTGTTCAGTAATATAATGGTTAGTAGAACTGTTCTGTAATATGATGGTTTGTATAAATGTTCAGTAATATAATGGTTTGTATAACTGTTCAGTAATATAATGGTTGGTAGAACTGTTCTGTAATATGATGGTTTGTATAACTGTTCAGTAATATGATGGTATGTATAACTGTTCAGTAATATAATGGTTTGTATAACTGTTCAGTAATATGATGGTTTGTACTACTGTTCTGTTATATGATGGTTTGTACAACCGTTCAGTATCATAATGGTTTGTACAACTGTTCAGTAATATGATGATTTGTTCAACTGTTCAGTAATATGATGGTTTGTATAACTGTTCAGTAATATAATGGTTTGTATAACTGTTCAGTAATATGATGGTTTGTATAACTGTACAGTAATATGATGGTTTGTATAACTGTTCAGTAATATAATGGTTTGTATAACTGTTCAGTAATATGATGGTTTGTATAACTGTTCAGTAATATGATGGTTTGTATAACTGTTCAGTAATATGATGGTTTGTATAACTGTTCAGTAATATGATGGTTTGTATAACTGTTCAGTAATATGATGGTTTGTATAACTGTTCAGTAATATGATGGTTTGTATAACTGTTCAGTAATATGATGGTTTGTATAACTGTTCAGTAATATGATGGTTTGTATAACTGTTCAGTAATATAATGGTTTGTATAACTGTTCAGTAATATGATGGTTTGTATAACTGTTCAGTAATATGATGGTTTGTATAACTGTTCAGTAATATGATGGTTTGTATAACTGTTCAGTAATATGATGGTTTGTATAACTGTTCAGTAATATGATGGTTTGTATAACTGTTCAGTAATATGATGGTTTGTATAACTGTTCAGTAATATGATGGTTTGTATAACTGTTCAGTAATATGATGGTTTGTATAACTGTTCAGTAATATGATGGTTTGTATAACTGTTCAGTAATATGATGGTTTGTATAACTGTTCAGTAATATGATGGTTTGTATAACTGTTCAGTAATATGATGGTTTGTATAACTGTTCAGTAATATGATGGTTTGTATAACTGTTCAGTAATATGATGGTTTGTATAACTGTTCAGTAATATGATGGTTTGTATAACTGTTCAGTAATATGATGGTTTGTATAACTGTTCAGTAATATGATGGTTTGTATAACTGTTCTGTAACATAATGGTGTGTACAACTGTTCAGTATCATAATGGTTTGTACAACTGTTCAGAAATATAATGGTTTGTACAACTGTTCTGTTATATGATGGTTTGTACAACTGTTCGGTTATATGATGCCTGCTATTTAAAGAAATGTGTCCTTTATTTCTTACAGCTGACTTTACTGTCTCAGCATATTGTGGCTTAGTGATTTTTTACAGCGGTATATAGTTGAGTCACCAGTCATTTGCACTCTTGGCCTGACAAAAGGAATATTTTTTATTTCAAAAGCTCGCGAAATTGGTTTTCAATTACTGTTATTTATTTTCAAAACAAACTTTGCATTTATTATTCCTACCAAACTGAGGAATCTCATTCAGAGTCTTTGTATAAAAAAAATAATGTAAAAGTTTCATCAAAATCAGGTCACAACTAAAAACAAATTTGTGCTGAAATGGTTGACCATTGCAATCATAGTACAGTCTCCTAATTAATTATAGGTGGATTTCGCTCAACTCTAACTTGTGTATAAAAGCCCCCGTCTCTGTCCACACTTCTGTGTCTGCACAATAACTGGTCAAAGTTTATTTTATATTGACGAAACTTGGTAAGCATATCATATATACAAAAACTAGGGCTAAATTCAGAGTTGAGCAAAATTCACATATATACCTTTTTTGACCCCAGTGAGCTGGTAGCTAAGAGCTTGTTGTCCAGGGTTGGTGGAAACGGATGCTGACTTTTAACAAGGATCGAAACAATTGTATATATACGGAAGATGGGGGAACAGATGGACAGGTACTCTCAAGACTTTTCAAGATTTATTTTTATTCACTCCCATCACAATGAGTATAACAGGAAGTCAATCAGGTATATTATACAATTAATTTAGTCCAACACCAGCTGTTTCCACCACTGCTTGGGAATCGAAATCACACCTACTAGATCACTAGATCACTTGCAGTCAAAAAGCTGTCAAACTAAAATCATCAGAAATTTAATTGAATCAAAATGACTCTTAAAAACATGAAAAAATTATAAAAATAAATCATCCTTATTAATAATGTTGGTAATATTTTCTCTATAATATCAATAAATAGTGATATCATTATCAAAACACACACCAAAGTCAGATATTCTACATACCTTTCCTAATTAATAATAATAATAATATTTATTCAGGTAAAATAGGCATGTTATTACAAGATATCACAATTTAGAATAAAATATATAATTAAAATCACATTGCAGCTTGTAAATAAAAAAAGAGTATTTTGTATTAAGACTAAGAATGGTAATAGATCTGACCTAGTAAAAGGTTTTTTAATTCAATCATTGACATATATCACAGAGTATAAAAATCTAAAAAAGTCTGATACACGTTTAAAAAAAGGCAGATATTACTATAAAATGAGACAAAATGAGACAGACTATTTTAGTGAATGAAGGTATTTATAAATAAAAAATAGATCGCATAATAGGAGTGGTGGTGATTGCCATTTACCTAGGATTACCCATAAAGCCACTTATTTCCAATGGGGTCCTTTAAAAATGGAAGAAAAATAATAAATTATGGCTGAGAAATCAATTTGTGTAGCAAGCACTTTCCAGCATGTTGTTATAATCCAGAACTGTGTATTTTTAGTTCCTAGGTTGTATATCGTGTTTAAAAGTAGATAATTTCTGTATAATCTATATCCCATAGCTATACAGATTGTATCTTAGCCATGACTCTCGATCAAGGGCTTCAATCATTTTTTTCCATTAACAAATCTGTTATCAACAGGGATATCAATTGATAGGAAAACAAACTACAATTTACATGTACATATTCTTTTTATAAATCAATCAGCACTTTTTCAATTGAAAGCTACTACCAGTTAAATATGNTGGGGGGGGGGGGGGGGGGGGGGGGGGAAATATCCAGCAATTTAATTATCTTTTCATGCCTGAAACTAAAATCATACAATAAATTCTTAAAATACAGTATAATACACTACTTAGCATACTGTATATGCCATAATAAGTGCCCAGGGGGCAAGAAGAAAAACAGGCTGAGGGGACCACTTAGTTATATGTAACAAAACAATGTTGTGGCAGTTTCTCACAGTGGATTCACAGGTAGGATAACATTTTTTTTTGCAAAACACTGAACAACAGACTAACAAGTAGTATAACATATAGTTGAAGCCCTCAGTGTACAGACAGTAGTATAACCTATAATTGTACCCCCAGTGTACAGACAGTAGTATATCCTATAGTTGTAGCCCTCAGTGTACAGACAGTAGTATAACCTATAGCTGAGCCCCCAGTGTACACACAGTAGTATATCCTATAGTTGTAGCCCCCAGTGTACAGACAGTAGTATA